GCCAAGTAACTTCAGCCAACACCTTTTTTCATCACACAAGCTCAGACCTTATATAAACAGAAAAGGAGATCTCTCCAGTGCTGATATCACAGAACCCAAACCAAAGTAACACTGACAAATCTATCATTTCTGTCCCTACCTACCCATCCCCAGGAGGGGGAGGGGGAGAAGGGGATTGGGCCACACTGGAGATGAGATCTCAGGGACGACTCCCAGTGCTTGGAGGAATGGGGGGGGGGGAACCCCAAACCAGGGATGGCAGCATGCAAGGCGAGCACCACCTTCGCCCCGGACTCTCTCTTCAGTCCCATTCCATTTCTTTAATGAATGACTAGACCCAGTTCCTCATCGATATAATGAGATTATTAATTCCACCTTCACAGAGAATAAGGACTGGACGATAATGCTTTGTGTGAAAAGACTTTATAAACTGAAACATCCCATAAAAAAGTCAGTGGCTGCGACAGTGAGAGTGATGTGGCCAGTGAATTCTCCCACCTCTGAAACCTGGGCCCCAAGGGCTCAGCCCTACCTGCACTGTTGCCTGTAAAAAACTAAGTAAACACGGGTCATCTCTGAAGCCGAGCTGGACAGAAATCAAAGCAGAGGACTTCTCAGTACCGATAAACTCAACTGGCAGAATTGGAAAGTCAGAAGTCTGGCTTATTCTAAATAAAAACCAAGGAAAACGGCATTCAATAAATAGAATATGACTTTATAGTCAATGTGACCAAGTGTTCTTTCTTCCTTTCTTTTCTCGGGGCAGGAGACACCTGGCAGTGCTCAGGTCTTACTCCAGGCTCTGCGCTCAGGGATCACTCCTGGTAGGTTCCAGAGACCATATGGGATGCCAGAGATCAAACCCAGTTCAGCTGCATGCAAGGCAAGAGCCCTACCTGCTATACTGTTTTTCTGGCCCCTGACTAAGTTCTTTCTTAAAACACTCTATATATTAATAATACATATATACCCTTGTTTAAAGATTTCGTATTGGTTGGCACTTACTTGGTAACAAGTAGTTAAGTAAGTATAATGCCTTTTCTTTTTTTAAATAAAGAAAAACAAATGAAGATAGGGGATGTGTAGGGGCTCAGTAGTATAACACTAGTCTTGCATGTGTGATAATGAAAGAAGGAAGGAAAGGAGGGAGGGACGGAGGGAGGTGGAAGGGCAAAGGGGGAGAAGGAAGATCAGCTTGAACTGATTATCACCATTAGAGAAGTAAATCCATGCCACTCGTGAATTAGAAGCCAAGAAGTCATCTTTGCATACTCAAAATGACATTTTCATTTTTGTGTCTTGGTTCATCCTCAAAATGTTTTAAAATGGTGACTGGTCATTCAAAGTAAAAAAGAAAAATTAGCTTCATCGACTTGCACTATATTTTTATATGTAATCTCATTCCACGAATTATTTGGGAAACCACATTTTATTTCTTAGTAAAATTTGCCACTGGCTTTGAGTCTTGAGATATGTGGTATACTGATGATGCCTATAAACTGCATAGCACGATGTCTGAGACATTATAAGCGAATAAATATATTATTTGCAATAGGTTATAAGCTCTCTGAGGTACTATCTTGCTGTTTTGTTCAGGCCTCTTTACCTCAGAAGTCTAATCTTTTGGAGTCAAGTTCCACAGCAATATTGCTAAGGACTAAGTATCATTCTCACCTATCACCTTCTGTTACAATACTACCAGTGCCCACACCCCTCTTTTCAATTGCAACACCTTTTCAAGTGCAAGGGTCTCTAAGAACCATACCCAGAGGAAAGGCACAGAAGTTCCTGTTTACATTTCCTTAAACTTACCACAAAGAATCCCCCGCCTCATGGTCCTAAAACCACAAAATCAAAATGGTTTGCAACAATGTATTCTTGAACAATTTTGCTTCATTTCCCTTCACATACAATGCGCCAAGTTCCTGAAAACGGAAACTTGGTGTAGTTCCCTTTAACCCTCTGAATGGCACATTTGTAAAACCTGAAATATTCTCAAATTTTGAGCCAAATACTTTGATTTTTTGACCACACGCAGCAATGGGGGGGGGGGGACTAGAAGGGGGGGCAATCCCTGCAGAGCTGGGGAACCATGCAATGTCAGGGCTAGAACCTGGGGCTCCCAGATGCAACACATGCACTGCTCCCTGGCCCAAACTCCTTGGGTTTTTGCTTTTTTTTTTTTTACTATATACTTAGCAGTATTTAATGAAAATGGGCTTATAATAAATTGCTAAAAGTTACACACCGAATTATATCACATTTCAAAACAAACTGACTAGTACTTCAGTGATGCTGCATTCCTTGAAACACTTTCAGACAATTTTTTTTTTCAGATCCAGTTCTACAAGTTGTACAAGAAAGTCTGTCATTACTCTATAGTTACAACTCCTATTTCACCTAGAACAGTACCACAACCTGATTGCCTAATCTTTCTCAGCAGACTTGAGCCCAAGTCCCCTAAATTAGTTAACTCCATTTGATTTTGCTATTCCCTAAAATCAAATCTGCTCTCAAAGGATTAAAGATGGTGAAAAATAGTGGATACTCCAACAATTCTCTCAGAATCTTCTAAGACACCTCAAGATGTTCTTGAGGGGCCTGAAAAGTTAACAGAAAGAACTTCAAATAACTAAGCTGATTGAGATAACTTGTAAGACACTTAATTTTGGAAATTTTCTATCCAAAACTGGCAACAACTGTTTCCAGTCAATTGTCATATAATTTTGTAATTCCATGTAAGGTCATATAATTTCAGTTCCTCCAACAAAATAAAGGTCACCATTTTAATTCCTTTTAGCAGAACTACTACTAAAAACCAAACTAAACTCTGGCTCCTTCGAAAGACACAAAAGGAACTTGCCAGTGGTTTCTTCTTGCCTTGGAGAAAAGGAAGACGGCTGGAGAGCAAGAACGGAAGAGAGAGTTTTCACTGAATATCCCCTTATGCCTTTGAAAATGTGGGTATGATTTCTTTTCTTGGTTTTGGGGTCACAACGGGCAATGCTCAGGGGTTACTCCTGGCAGTGCTTTGGGGAACTGACTGTATGGGGTGCAGGGATGGAGTCCAGGTGGCCTGTGTGCAAGACAAGCACCCTACCACTGTACTAGCCTTGCAACCCCACACTACATATTTTTCAAGTCTGTTTATAAAATTGCTTCCAACTGCCAGAGACTGCTGACTATTGAGCACAGTGCTAAAGAACCGCAAAGGCCCCTTCAATGGCACTTCATTGTGCGTCTGGACTTCCTGGGCCAGTGCAGAGCTATTGACACGAACCGAGGATCTTGCAGGCAGTTCTCTTCAAGTTCACTCAACTCTCCACAGTTGAGATTCTGGGCATAAACGTCACTCAAGCTTAAACATCATTAGAAACAAATACTCTAGAAAAATTTTTTAAAAGACAAATAGGAAAACTAAATATAGAGAGCTCTGTAAATTAGCAAAGCAATAGGCTGTGTTATAGATAGAAAATAGCTACAAATTCTCTTAAAATGTAAACAACCATACCAGGGGGAAAAAAAGGAAAAAGATGTCAAGATTGGTACCATCAGCAACATAAATCACGAGGTTTGAGCTGGAGAATGCAATATGATCTGTGACTGGATACAATTGCACAACCTCAATTACCCTGAAGATTGTACCAAACAGGAAATTCATGATGTGACTTTAAGAAACACAGGAATTATTATTTCAAGATTAACACATCCAAGACTAGAATCTATCCCCCCACCAGGCTGACCCCTTTCAAATCACCCCGTGCAAACTAAACGATGCAATTCAGCAATCCATTTACATCCATCCACAATATCCATTCCAGACCCCAGTAGCTCTCAAATTACAGCAAATCTTATACTGTGCGTGCACAAAACCTGCATTATCTCGGGATCGCCAGCGATTTAAAAAGACACGCAAGGGGTGAATTACACCTGAAAACGAGTCGCTTCCTTCCTATAGAGTCCATCCATAGCCTTCTCAAAGATGCATGCCTCTCCCTGTAAATGCAGATAAGTTTCCTGCAAAGCCTGTCTCTAAGGGGCTTGAAAAATACGGCATTCACAAAAATTAGCCCAACTGAAAAACATTTACAATACCTTGTAGCATTGTTAATTTTTTTTTTTTAAATCTTGAAGGCGTCCAACGGATCCGAATCTCACTTGCTCCCAAAGAGAAAATTGTTTGGCGCAACAATACTTAAATGAGCAGTGGTATGTGACTAATCTGCGAGGCCGCCAGTTTCTCGAGCTGCAATGTTCTTGCATCCCCCCTCCCAACTCCGCGAAAAGGAAATACGCTTTCAACCCCGTCGGAAACGGCACTCCAGCGGGCGCGCGGCTCTCCCAGATAAAGTCGATATTTTAAGCCTTTTTTTTTTCCCCTGGGTCGCTGCTAACTCATGGGCAAATTCCAAAAGTTCGCTTCTCAAAATGGGATTTTGCAAACAGAGGCTTGCAGAAAGCAAGCAAGCAAGCAAGCAAGCAAGCAAGCAAGCAAAGCCCGGGCAGAGCGGGCTACGCTCCGTCTTCTCGATCGGGTTTGGCTTCTCGGCAGCTCCCCAGGAGGGTCTGCTCCCGCGCCCACAATGGGTGCAATTCCGGGGCCCTAAAGTCCAGCTGCTGCACGCCAGCAGAGACCTCCCCAGAGAGCAACCCCCCCCCCCGCCACCTCGTGCCTGGCCCCCGAGCAACCACCCCTCCAGCAGCAGGGAATGCGTGGGGTGCGAGCCAGCCCCGAGCTCCAGCACCAACCATCGTCTGCACCCAGCGGGTGGCCTACCTGGGCATGCAGAAGGGGAGCGGTGCCAAGAGGAGGGGGGAAGAAGGATGCAAGAGAGGGGTCGAGGGGGGTAGGGGGGTGGGTAGCAATACCGGCCCCGCGGAAAATTCCTGCCGCTGGGTGCATCGCTGAGCTGTGGGGGGCCAGGCCCGGTTCTCGGGCACGAGGAGCGCCCCCCACCCAAACCTGGACCCCCCGCGGCGCCGGGCTGGGTGACACTCACCACACCGAGCCATAGGCGCCGGAGCCCACCGGGGACAGGTTCTGGTAGCGCTCGGGCACCTCCCAGATGGTCTTGTTCAGCTCTTGCCGGTAGAACGTGGGCCTCTCCTGAGACATCTTCCAGCGGCGGCCGCGGGCTGAGGAGGTGGCCCTGCAGGGCCGCCCCGCCTGCACCCGCACCCGCGCCCGGGTCCTCCGCGCCCGCCCAGTCGGGCGGGGGCCCCCCCGCCGCGCTGCCCGTCGGCTCCGGGGCGGCTGCGGCGAAACCCCGCCGACTCGCGCGCGCGGGCGAGCGGCCCCCGGTCAGCTGCAGCCCCTGGATGCGCCTCGGAGCCTCGGGACGAGCCCGGCGAAGGGCGAGCGCACGCTCGGGAGCCTCGGGCGGCGCCGGCCGCGCTCCTCCCTGCACCCGCTTCCACGCCCGGGCCGACCCGGGGCTGCGCCGTAGTTGCGCGGCTCCAGCTGCAGCGCCCGCAGGCTCCAGTGGTCGCGGTCCCGGCGCCAGCGAACAGGAGCCTCCCGCCGCGCTCTCGCGAGAACAGCCGCCGGGTCTCGCCGCGAGTCGAGATTTTACCCAATATGGAACCTGGCCGCGGGAGGGGGGGTTGCGAGGGGAGCGCTCGGGGGATGAGCAGATCTCGCGAGAAGAGAACAACAGCTGGTGCCCCGAGCCTGAAACTCCCAGGGACAGTTGTTTTTTTTTTTTTTTTTTTTTTTTTTTAAAGGGCGCGAAGGCAGGTGGGGCTCGAGAGCCGAGTCGTGCCGCACAGGCCGCGTGCGCCTCGCAGTGGTCGGCGGGAGGAGTAGCTGGCTCGGTCGTCGAAAGCGACAATGACAAATAGGGTGTCCAGGCAAAGAGCCAAAGGGTCTTTGGGCGGAGGGTAGTCAGCTGCAACTGAACACCTGCTCCGAGGAACCCCACCCCCCCCATTTCCAAGAAATGTTTGCAAAAAAAAAATTTTTTTTTAAAAAGGAAAAGGAGAGATTCCGGTAAGAAAGCTGTTGGGCTTTCGTTTGTTTAGGAATATAGGGCTTTACTTAATTTGAAGTTCTGTCCAAATTCGTCTCATGAGCAGATAAATACCCGCTCTGCATGCAATAAGGCTGAGGTTCCCCATCCAAACTCCCCAAGGGGTTCTTTTTTTTTTCCCTTTTTTTTGGGGGGGGGTCACACCCGGCGATACTCAGGGGTTACTCCTGGCTCTGCACTCAGGAATTACCCCTGGCAGTACTCAGAGGAGCATATGGGATGCTGGGAATTGAACCCGGGTAGGCCGCGTGCAAAGCAAACGCCCTACCGGCTGTGCTATCGCTCCAGCCTCTCCAAGGGGTGCTTAAGTGCAGAATAATTGCACTGAGAGTGGGATCTAATTAGATAGGTCTGTGATGGGCTCCAAGAATGTGCTTAGACAAGTTCCAGTGTATGCCGTTTATGCAAAAGAGAATTCCTGACACTACTTCCTTCTAATAAAGCCATGTTAGAACTGAAAATAATGTGACCAGGCAAGATATTGTAACACCAGCCCTATCCATACTATTACCAACCTATTCTTAGGCTAAAACTTATTACAATAAGCACAAAGTTGATCCCAATTTTATTCTCATCCCTGATTATTTTCTTTAGTGTTAATCACTCCTTAAAATCTTCAGACTTAGCTTGTTTTTAGCCAGCAGTTTACAGTACAGTGCCTAGAACATAAAACGCACCCTATAAAATTTTGTTTGAAATGTTATGAACAGTCTTGGGCACATAAGTGTAATGTCTGTGCATAACTTGGTGCTGTGAAACCATAAATGTTAGCTATTGTTACCATGCTACCTAAACCAGTTTTTTAAAATTTTAAGATTCTAAGATTATACCTCTTAGAGGGGTTCGGCAGGGTGATACCATTTCACCAAAACTCTTCAGTGCCACCCTCGAGAACATCATGCGATGACTGGAATGGGAAAGCATGGGAGTGAAGATAGATGGTCGGCAACTACACCACCTCCGCTTTGCTGATGACATCGTTCTAATAACACCAAATATCAACCAAGCAGCACAAATGCTGAACGACTTTGACCGTGAATGTGGAAAGGTCGGACTACAGCTGAATCTTACGAAGACAATGTTTATGAGAAACAGCCTTGTTCCTGACACTCCATTCGCTCTCAACGGAACCACCATCTCCGAATGCAACAGTTATATATACCTAGGTCGAGAAATCAACATGATGAATGACCTGGCACCTGAGTTGCGCAGGAGGAAGAGAGCGGCTTGGAATGCCTTCAAGAGCATTGAAGAAATAACTAAAAGGACAAAGAACCTCCAGCTACGAGCACATCTCTTTGATTCCACTATTCTTCCTGCATTAACATATGCCTCAGAGACCTGGACCCTACGAAAACAGGATGAGAACGCTATTCGGGTCTCTCAAAGAGGAATCGAAAGAGCTATGCTTGGAATATCACGATTCACTCAAATGAGGGATAGAATCCGGAGTTCTGATCATCGTCAACGCTCAAGAATCAGGGACGCTGTCTCATTTGCCAAGACATCAAAAATCAGATGGGCTGGACACGTAATGAGGTTTACAGACAACCACTGGACTAGAGCCATTACTGATTGGATTCCACGGGACATCAAAAGATCACGTGGACGCCCACCTATAAGATGGTCAGACTTCTTCGTCAAGACCCTAAATGATCGGTTTGAGGCTCTGCACGTTCCTAGAACGAACAGATACCATTGGGCTACGCTAGCACGCAACCGGGATGAATGGAGACGTTACTGGCACCCACTCGAATAAATCGATGAATAACGGGGATTAAGTGATTAAGTGATTAAGATTATACCTCAGTTTAAGAGGATTCTGCAGGATTTTCTCGTTTTTTTTTTTTCACTTGGTTTCCTCCGTGCCTCTTGGAGAGCCCGGCAAGCTACAGAGAGTATCTCGCCCACACTGCAAAGCCTGGCAAGCTCCCCATGACATATTCATATGCCAAAAAAATACACAGTAACAAGTCTCACAATGGAGACTTGGGCCCACTCGAGCGATGAACAGGAGGACAGTGCAGTACAGTGCTTGCTCAAAAGGGGGATGGTGGGAAAGTCAAAGTGAAGGTTCTGAGTGATTTGTGCAAAGCTGTTTTGTCTTGTTTTGATTCAGTGTAGTCTAGCCTGGTTCTCTTGCCCAGGAGGACATGCTGTTTGAAAGTGCTCCTCACAGACTATCCAGAGTAGGTTTAGTTAGAGAAGGTGAAACTAAAGACTGAGGAAATGAGGGTAGGAATAGAGGATCAGGGGACTGAGCATATGAGAACAAGGGGAGAAACTTGGAAGAATCCTAGTTTATTCTACAAAGAGTTCATGAGATGTGACCAGAAGTGTAAAGATGAGCACATATCCAGTTAGAAGGCTAGTCTAATATCCAGGAGGTACTTCAGATAGAAAAGTGATTGAAGAACTACATAGTAGGGTGCTGGAAAGATAGAGGGCACTTGCCTTGCACTTAGCTGACCAGGGTTCTATCTGGTCAGCTGAGGATACCAGCAATCAATGCAAGACACTTAAAATCTTTTTTAAAACATCCTTGCCTTTATGGGGACGAGGCAGTTTACAAGAAGGAACCCGTGGGGCCAGAGCGATAGAACAGCGGGTAGGGCGTTTGCCTTGCACATGGTGCACCAGGGTTCAATCTCCAGCATCCCATATGGTCCCCTAAGCACCGTCAGGGGTAATTTCTGAGTGCAGAGTCAGGAGTAACCCCTGAGCATCCCCTGGTGTGCCAACTCTCCCCCCACCCCCACCCCCACCCCCAAAAAAACACTGGAAGGTAATCATTCAATCAGTAACAAATTTACTGACTTCATTCTATAATCATTCAGAAACAAATTTACTGAGTTCATACTGTATCTACCACATTGCTTAGACACTGAGGATACCAGCAATCAATGCAAGACACTTAAACTCTTTTTTAAAATACCCTTGCCTTTATGGGGATGAGGCAGTTTACAAGAAGGAACACATGGGGCCGGAGCGATAGAACAGCAGGTAGGGCTTTTGCCTTGCCCGCAGCCGAGCCGGGTTCGATTCCCAGCATCTCATATGGTCCCCTGAGCACCGCCAGGAGTAATTCCTGAGTGCAGAGCCAGGAGTAACCCCTGAGCATCTCTGGGTGTGACCAAAAAAAAAAAAAACCGTAATATGTAAACGGACTCTCGGGTACAAATATGGTCATGAGCAAGAGTTACTTGCACCTCAAGGATGACCCGGATCCAAGATGCAGAGAAGAGGGTTCGAGGGGGAAAAAAAATCTCAGGTCTCCTGGTGCATAGTCTGTCCTCACAGAACGTAATTCAGGAAACTTCAGTGACGCGAGGTGGAGAGTGCACGCGCCGAGAGGTACACGGCGCGAGGCCACTCAGAAGGTCCCGCATCAAGAGCCATCGAACCAAGAGGTCCAGATGGCCCAGGTAGGGGTGCAGGGGCCCTAGGTTCCGGGAACCGGGGACAGGCAGGAGTAATTGCCTGTAGACCCCACGCCCCGCTTCCCATCCCTCGCTGTCCATGCTCCCCTTGCTCGCACCCACCCTTATCTCCCACCCGCCCGAACGCCCGCGGGTTCGGCCGCAACGGTTCGGGAACCGCCGGCGGCGTCGGCCCCTGCAGCCGGGCGGCCGGAACCGGAGCCGCACCCGCGTCCAGCCGGGGAACCAGGTGAGCCGCTGGGGGCTGTTGTGGGGCCGCCGGGCCTCGGATGTCACGCTGCGAGAAGGTTGCAAGGCCCGGGACGGGGGCTGCCGGGGAACCGGCTGGGCCGGGCACGTCGCAGGGTTTGTGCAATGAATGACAGCCGTGCCTGGGAGCGGCTCTCTCGCAGCTATTGTCTCCACTTTAGAAAGGACTGGCCAGGACGCGAGGGCGGCGTGTGCCCGCCTCCCTTTGCAAGCCGAGCGCACGTCTTGCGGGGTCAGAAGCTGCAGAGCTGGGCGGCAGCGCCCGCCTCGCCCGCGGAGCTCAGCTGGGGAGCCCTGGCTGCTCCAACGCGCCGGTCCCTTCACGCTCCTCTGCTTCTGTGTCTTCCCACAGAGCTCCCGCACCCACTCCCACCCCCTGGATCCCTTGCTCCGCGGCATCAGAGCTCCCCCATCCCGACACCCTGTGAAACCTCCTCCACGGTCTCCACGAAGGAGTTTCTCACCGCGCACCCGCGGCTCGGGCTGGAGCGCTGTCCTCGGGTTACTCATGCCCAGTCTTTTA